ACCACAATAGTTGACTAAATCACTAGTATATCTATGTACAGCTAGGTGCACAGAGGCATTAAGTTGAAAGGAAACGTGTTCAACAATTTTTCTCCTGTGCAGGATTCGACCCCGGGATTCCCGACTGAGAGTCGAGAGTGAATCCGACTCTACCGAGAAGCGACACCTCTCAGAATATCTTGAGGTTATCTTGAGGGGGCTTTAGTGTCCCCGCGGCCCGGTCCTCGACCTCCACCCCCAGGAAGCAGCCCGTGACAGCTGACTAACACCCAGGTACCTATTTACTAGGTAACAGGGGCATTCAGGGTGAAAGAAACATTTGTTTCTGCCTCGTGCGGGAATCGAACCCGCGCCACAGAATTACGAGTCCTGCGCGCTATCCACCAGGCTACGAGGCCCCCTCGTAGCCTATACAATAATAAACCGATTATATACAATTATTGTATATGTATTATATACAATAATACAATTATTGTATATGCCGAGCATATACAATAATAAACACAAAATTCTCTCGTACAGTCAGATCTAAAAAAAAAGTAATTTGATTTGGATTTTGTAGCGCACGACTGTTTGAATTCTAAAAATCTCATAAATCAGTGTCTTTGACAAAAGCAACAACTAGTTTTAATGCTTTTTTTGTCGGTAAAAAGTACATTTGCAATTCAGTTTCGTTGCAGAACTGCAGAGCAATACAAATCCTTCAAAGCCGCCGTCCCATGCTCTGATATAAGCTTGTGTACTAAGGTAGGGAAGATGAGCCCCTCACTGACGTAGGGGAGGAAAGGAAGGGGAGGAAGGGGAAATATTGGGTTGGGAACGTAGGCAGAGCGAGCAAGGGAAGCAGGGAGGGGAGTGAGGGATGAGTTAGACGTTTTGAATCATAAGGGAGATTACCTGATGGGTAGAGATGGCGGGGGAGGGGGAATCTGAGACGCTGTGGATGGTGGGGATTTGAGGGAAGGGGGAGGGGTGGGGGGGATTTGAGGGAAGGGGGAGGGGTGGGGGGGATTTGGACTGGTGTTTACAAGACTGAGAGGAGGAGGAGGTGTGTGTGTAGGTGCTTTATATTCTTCATCATCATCAACCAGGAACAGCAGCTTGACTTGGGATCATGGATGGCAGCCATGAATAACAATGAACTCATTAGCATACACCAGAGGAACCGCTGCGTCGACACCTGCTCTCACGGCTCGTATGACCTCCCTGGCGGGTCAGACATGGTTGGGCACGTTTCCTCCCATCCCCCTGATGCCTCCATTCACCTAGCAGTAAAACAATACCTGGGAATTAGTCAACTGTTGTGGTGTGGGTCTTGAGGAAGGTGAGATAATTGTGAGAATATAGAGGTAAGCTTATATGCCTATATGGCACTCGGAAGGGAAACACCGACAAGGAGCTGAGATATATATATATATATGAACGGAGGGATTGAATGGTGCCAAACCATTTGGGCCATCGGGGATTCGAACGCCGACCCGGCAAGATTAAGCTAACCCGTCGCTTGACTGACCAAGTCACATCCTGGGGACGATCAGACATAGGCCTAGCTAGACCTCGATAAGCCTTAACAAGATTTCTGTCCACGAATTCAGGCAACAAATAGGTGTCCTATCAGCGTAACCCCCCCCCCACCCCCCACACCTGAAGTGACCCAACCTTTCACCGTCACTTCCCGCACCTGTCACCGTCACTCCCCACACCTGAACACACACAGTCAGGTGACGTGACCAGTGACATAAACACTGTCACACTCACCTCACAACCTGACACTGGAGTGATCTACCATCAACACCCTGTTACAACATCGCCATTAAACGTTAATCAATTAATTTCTGTTGCGAACAGTATAATACACTATTGCAACCAATATTCACTGTTGCAATCAATATGCACTGTTGCAACCAATATTCACTGTTGCAATCAATATGCACTGTTGCAACCAATATTCACTGTTGCAAGCCATATTCACTGTTACAAGCAATATTCACTGTTGCGTGACGCGCATTAGTGAATCAAACGAGGTGGTTCCCAGAGCGCAAATCATGCGCGGGTAACGTCTCATCAAGGTCTCATGAACGTCTAATTAAGATTGAGTCAACGTCAAATCAACGTTTTAAACGTCGATTCATTATGACGTCAACATCATTTGCCTATCGATTTGCCTGTGGCGATGTTTAAAAAACGTTGAAACACGTTTATTTCGTTACGTTTATTTAAAAAAAACGTTGAAACACGTTTATTTCGTTACGTTTATTTAAAAAAAACGTTGAAACACGTTTATTTCGTTACGTTTATTTAAAAAAAAACGTTGAAATAACGTTATTCCTAGACAACAATAACGTGTCCACAGAGACCAGTAAGTATATACGGATTGGAGAATCCTGTAAGTGGGGGATATACACTGACACTTATACACCCGTAAGTAAGTCTATGTAAGTGGTGTGAGAGCCCATTGAGCGTGCTTAATCGAACGCGCTCAATAGTACGGAGTTATGGTACGGAGTTAATAGTACGGCTCTATAATACAGGTATAATCGCCCGCGCTCTATCATATAGAGTTATGTATAGAGTTTGTATCGTCAACAGGTCTCGGCTGGTGCAACTGTTTCTCTGTATCCTTGTTGCAACAGGTAATTGTGCTCAGGTGAGCTAATGTAATTATCAGCTTAAAATGCTTAGATTAATTGGTTGTTCAGCGCTTAGACTAAGTTGGTTTTCGGGACCTAGCCTTGTTTTCTTGATTTGCCATATCGTACATAACACAGAATGCTATGCTAAGAAGGAACGTATGATCCCAAGCCTTATCGTAACCCAAGCCTTATCGTAACCCAAGCCTTATCGTAACCCAGGCCTTAACCAAGCGTAATCAAGCGTTGTAATTTGTACGCTGGGAGCCGGTCGGCCGAGCGGACAGCACGCTGGACTTGTGATCCTGTGGTCCTGGGTTCGATCCCAGGCGCCGGAGAGAAACAATGGGCAGAGTTTCTTTCACCCTATGCCCCTGTTACCTAGCAGTAAAATAGGTACCTGGGTGTTAGTCAGCTGTCACGGGCTGCTTCCTGGGGGTGGAGGCCTGGTCGAGGACCGGGCCGCGGGGACACTAAAAAGCCCCGAAATCATCTCAAGATAACCTCAAGATAGATAACCATAACGCAAATAATGTGACGTACTAGCTGATTGGCCGGGTCCTGGAACTAGAGCTCGGCTTAAATTCAATGCTACTTAGACCACTACTGACACCGCAAGACTTTACCATAGTCTACCCCGGGAGACGGGGTAGTCTACCATAGTCTACTCGGGTAGACGGAGTAGACGATGGTAAAATGTTCTGATCAGTTTAAGGACTCGAGGCGATCTAGGTAGAAACGTGAATAGGTTGCACTAGGAGTCACCAGTTCGAGCCCCTGTAGGCTTTCCACCGTCCCTAAAGCCTTATGCCGTCATATCCCTTTCTCCTGATAATTACCTACTCCTCACACACAGAGATCACACTAACGTGATGCAACAAATGAACAAATCCAAAATGGCCGTGACGAGGATTTGCCCTGTCGTAGCTCAGTCGATTAAGGCAGTGTCTGGGATGCTCCCGGACGCAGGTTCGAATCCTCGTCACGGCCCTTGTGGATTTGTTTATCTACTCCTCTTTTTCCTTGATCAAATATTTGGAAGTTTGTGTTTCGGTGAAGTTCACTTCACGTCACCGGGAAACCCATACATATATATATATATATATATATATATATATATATATATATATATATATATATATATATATATATATATATATATATATATATATAGACACTTCCCCTGGTGCTGTGATGTATATACATATAAACATACATATATACGCACATATGCATGCAGCAACACACACACACACACTGTGACAGGTAACAAAGAGTTTCCAGGAACTGAACGGGATGGAAAAAAAAAAACTTGACCTGATACTTGATTGCATCAAAGCACTTTTTAATCAACAATTTTTCCCATGGGGGGGGGGCACTTTAGAGGCCTCGTCGGGGGCTGGAAGCCGGCGACTTCTCAAAAATATACTCCCCTTCCCCCCTTCTCCCCTCCCCCCCACACGACTGGGACAGAAAGCCGGTGGATTGTTAAAGTCACCTCATTATTACTGTCACATTCACTCTTTCGCTCTCACATTTTCTTTCATTTTCAATCTCTCATTCCCGTTCTCTCTCATTCTCAGTCTCATTTTCTTTCTCATTCTTTCATTAGGCATCGCTCTAATGAGAGATGCCAAATCTTTCATTCCCTTTCACATTTTCTCTAACTTTTTATCTTTCCCATTCTCTCTCACCCATTCACTCCCTCATTTTCTCTCTAAAACGAAAGAATTCCAAAACAATGATGAGCCATTCAATGCCTCTGATGAATAAGCCATTACTCTGAGGAAAATTACCAATTCTAATTTTCAATCGAGCCAGTAATTAGTTATTTCAATCCGAGCAAACGAGCAGATTTGCCAGACGGATCGTTCGTTGCGGAAATTGATGCCAGCAATTGCTGTGTTTGGCGTTAGCGGCGACGACGAGGAACGGAAAAAAAAGAGAGAGGTTTTGGATCCGAGAGAAGTTACGATGAGAAGTTGTTCTACCTCACAACAGTGAGGCAGAACACTAAGATAAAGTGATGCACACTCAACATATTACGTTGTCAAAGGCACCGGATCAGTCTCTCTACGATCTCTTGCCTCCTACGACGCCAACTGACCGTAGAGTCCCCCCCCCTCATCTCCCAGCAAGCATCTCTGAGACACAGCATCTCGTAGCAACGCTTCATCTCCTCTCCTACCACGGCAGTCATCCTGTCGTGATAAGCCCCACTAGAAAAAACACCCCATCCTCCAGGACGTCCCTCCACAGACAACTCTGTCACGTTCTGAGGGACGCCCCTGACGCTCGTCTCAGCACATTCCACACCTTAAAAAGTGGGCCGCCACATCGGCCAGCGTCTCCACAAAATGACTTACTCACCTATCTGGAAAGACTCCTGACAGGTGGTGGGTACTATCTTCTCCATCTCGAACTGGGGCATCCGCATGTTCTTGTACATCTTGATGGGCATGTCGCTCTTCCAGGAGAGCTTCAACTCCTTCATCGTCTTGGAAACTGGAAATGTGAGAGGATGGGGGTGGGTGGGGGTGGGGCAGAGAGAGAGAGAGAGAGAGAGAGAGAGAGAGAGAGAGAGAGAGAGAGAGAGAGAGAGGCGTATTAGTGTGATTATATTTAACTAGGATTCTTATTAATTCAATATTCAAACAACTCATTGTTGTAAATTTTGGTATCAATATATACGTAAATAGTGTGTGTGTGTGTGTGTGTGTGTGTGTGTGTGTGTGTGTGTGTGTGTGTGTGTGTGTGTGTGTGTGTGTGTGTGTGTGTGTGTGTGTGTGTGAACTTATCTAGTGTGTGTGTGTGTGTGTGTGTGTGTGTGTGTGTGTGTGTGTGTGTGTGAGTGTGTGTGTGTGTGTGTGTGAAGGTGTATATCTATCAGTCACATTTATCTCTTAACCAATTTAGTTCAGGCCAATATAATGTAATTAAAACAGCTGTTTCCCTCTGATCGCGTTTACTGTGTTATTGCAATCACTAATAACAAGTATAATCATTTCCTTACAGACAATACATCAATTTCAAAGAATCTTTTCTCAGTTTCGTGTCTCTCCAAATAAAGTTATATATTCAACAAATAAAGCTACAATTATACGAATAAAGTTACAATGAGTTAAAATTAATACAAAAAAACCCGGAGAGCCATTAACAGCTGTGCACTCCGACACTGCTAGAAGAAAATAAACTTAATTTAGGGTCTCAAAGGACCCTAGCTACCCTAAACCCTGATGAATGTGGAGTCTGGGGGGACCCCGAGGGCACATTATAACCCCAGGAATGTAGAATATGGAGGGAGGGGGGGTCAAAAACCCAGGGGGTCCTTCACAACTCGAGAAATTTAATATTTAGGGGTTACCCCTTCGACCTTCATTTTCACAAGTCTGTAAAACTTGGTTCTACATACATGGGAGAATTATGAGAAATATGACGAAAATAGCAAAGATAGCAACTTTTGTAGTGGGCCTTTTGTATATAACGGACAAACTTTCTTTGTCTGTAGCTGTGCCTCATCCAGCGCTGTAGCTTTTGTCTGAATAATTGGAATAATCAGCGAAACTTTTTCATTATTTTTCTCCCATTATCCAGTTCCATTCGAGAGACTAAGGAAAACGGAAGCAGATAATGGATAACTAATCTGAACCTGAATCCATACCAGGACTTCAAATTCTCTCTGATCTAATTTCCATTGATATGATTCCCTCTGATCTAATTCTCACTCACCTAATCAAATTAAAAACGACATCTCACATGTCATTTTTACAACTATCAAATAAAATGCAATACGATTGGGCTAAAATCGTTGTTGAGAAATATGCTAATTTAGAATTGTATAAATTATTTTGGAAGTTACTCACAGCTGGCTATCTCCATGGTACAGACTTGTGAATCGAGAGGGAACTTGGACAGTTCCATCATGCACGCAAACACCAACTTTAATCTGAAAAACATACAAACGGAATTAATTTACTATCAGACATAAGATGATTAACCACCAATTTTGGTGTTATGTTAAAACTTACCAATGAGAATTTTTGACCAGATCTGGTCTAACTCAATGATCTGACCTTGGTGAATCTCACTTGAACTGACATGACCTGGCTCAGCTCGCATAACCAAACACAACGATAAACACAGTTCTAGCAATTCGAGATCAAGGTATGTGGGAAACCCTCGTTTAAAACACTCAAACCATACCGAATAACAGGTGACTGTAAGCTACAGGGTGACACGGCTGTTACAGGATACAGAGCGTTACAGAAATCCAGGAACAGATACATAAATCCTACATTCCAAGTCGAATCGACTTGAGAATGGTCCAGGACGAACCGAAACGTCGTCGTCCCTTCACCTTCTAGTGTGAGGTCTAGTCAACATTCTTCAGCCACGTTATTGTGACTTATTCCCTGCCTCCATTCCAAAATTGATAAAGATAAAGATTTGATAGATAAATACAGACACAGGTCAAAATATTTAAACAGATAATGGATCAGTGCAGGGAATAATGAAGAGCTTAAGAGGTACAGACAAGCGAGGCTTCAGGAAGAGATGGCAACCAGGATTGATGGCAACCAGGATTGATGGCAACCAGGATTGATGGCAACCAGGATTGATGGCAACAAGAATTGATGGTAACAATGGAATACATAATACAAAGAGACACAGATATATAGTACTACCGGGACACTATCGGATCTCCGGTACAACAGGTGCGTTTGCTCATGATTCACAATCGAGAATTCCGGGTTCGGATCGCGGGTGGGACAGAAATGATTGCATGCGTTTCCTATCACCTCATACATCTGTTCATCTAGCAGTAAATAGGTGCCCGGGAGTTAGCATGTGTGGGGTGGCACCCTAGGGAGGATATATATAGGTATATATATCATAATATATATATATATATATATATATATATATATATATATATATATATATATATATATATATATATATATATATATATATATATAATCTCTATCTAGAGAGATAATCTCTTTCTAGAGAGATTGAGCCTGCTCTTCCCTACTTCAAGTTACGTCAATTCTACAAGTAATAGATGCTACATTCAAGATACGTCACCGGTAGCACAAAACGTTTTGACCAGGAGGCAAAACGTACCCAAGATCCCCCCACTCCACACACCCTCCACACCCCGGCTCGTCATCAAACCAGCTAACTACCCTTCACCAGCTTGCCTGCTCCTGATTGGTGACTCGCCGACCGCGCACCTGCACACCGCACCTCAGCGCCCTCTACCTGAATCGACGTCGGAGCCCTGACCAGCTATCAACTTCAGAATATTCTTTGAGCTCTTAGAGTTGACATCTCTCTCTGGCATACTAGCTCATTGGCTCGTATACGACGGGAGGTTTCAGCCATAGCCGATATTCTCAGCACCATTTTACATTTCACTTTTGTAATATTGTATCTCACATTGTCTTTGCATTTATCTTTGTTATTTAACTTTATTTTTTCATTCCCTCGAGATTTGTCTTTATTTTCATTTATGTTTAAAGTAAATATATTAAAGTTTCATTGTTCATACTTTGTGTTTTACGTGTTCCTCCCTCTCACTTACCACAGACAACAGGCAAGCAGTCTATCTTTTTGTTTTAAGTGTGACCAGGCTTTGACACCTGCCATTGGAGGACTGCCGAACATCAACACTCCAACACTTTCCCGTCACAATATATATATATATATATATATATATATATATATATATATATATATATATATATATATATATATATGTCTCTATCCCCATAGCAATCCTTTTATAGTCTTCACTATCAAACATATCCCCCAGACTCCCTATATATATATATATATATATATATATATATATATATATATATATATATATATATATATATATATATATATATATATATATATATATATAGAAGGGAGTACCACCTCTAGCTGGAAGAAGGGGGACCCATAGCCTCGGAGGAAACCACGCATAACGCATTAGAGGGAATGTTTAGATCCCCTCCAATACAGTTTCTGTGTGCTTTTCTCCTACCACCCCCTTCCTTTTTTATTTTTGTGCTTTATTATGCATTTGATGGTTACAAGATATACATGGGTTGATACAAAAATAATAATGCAAAAAGGTGCTTAAAGGTTATGGATCTCTTGAAAAACACAACAATGGGAAACATTGATGAATGTCACAGACGGGTTCGATCATTGTTGCAAGTCAAACACTTCTTCGAATTCCTCTGAAGTTGGACTAGTGCCCAAGACGCAACAGGCATTTCCCCTCTGAATCGCAACACTGAGGCGCTGGAACAAGAAACTTTTTGCTCTCTGGTCTTTTGTAGCGCTGATCAATTTGTCCCCCAATTCCTTCAGGAACTTCAATGCACATTTTCCCCACGAACCGAGGGTCTCCGAGCCGATCGGAACAAAGCTGTAGCAGTGTGCTAGACCTCTGTATTTAATAATTTTCTGCGATTCCCTGAAAGAAGCAGTACCACCGCTTTCACGTGTGCTGTAGTGGAGGTAGGTACTGGCCAGTGTGGCACCGCACGTGTAGTCCCATACCAATTGCTTACCATCCTTCCAAGGTAGCAAGGTGACCCCATCAGGGCGCTTCTGAGGGTCGCTAGGTCTGGATAAGTGTGGTTCTCTTTGTGCCGGGCAGCGGGCTGTGGCGAGGCTCCTCTTGATGATTGTTACGGACCCGAGTCCAGCGTCCGAGCAAGGAGCAGTAACGACTACGCCATCTGTGGGTCAGCTCCCGAAACCCCCGCCAAACGAACGACGACACCTAGTGAGGACAGCGTGTACTGGCCTCGAGGACCAGTTTCCAGTCTGGTTCAGCGCTCAACACCGCCGCTCCTGACCTCTGGTGAGGTGGTGCTCCGACGACAGCGCCATCTATGGAGTGGATATGTCGGGCGTTTGTATCTGAGGCAGTAAGTGTGGTGTTTTAGTGTCTCTGTTATTGATGACGTGTCTGTTTACAGAGCCGACCTGGGACCACTGTGTTGAAGGTGGAGTCAGTCTACCCGAGGCAGCCAGTCTCCATACTGTGAAGTTTGCTGCAGCTGTTGTGACGTCGTCCCCCCGGAAGAACACTGTGGTGTGTTAAGCCTGCCAGTGGAGTGGCAGTGAAAGGATTTACCCGGGACCGACGGTTGGAGACGATAATCCACTGGGGTATTGAGGACAGGAGGGTGATTGGTGATATCACACGAGACTCCTGTCTAGGGCGTACCCCTTTTATCGCTCGTGGAGTGGCCGTACCAGCCTTGGTGGCTCAGTACCTGCCAGCAGACCTGCTGGACGTGTGGTTGACGGCCTCCACGACGGTGCCCCCAGTGGACCTGTGTTGTGGCTGACCTGTGGCCAGGGTAGGCTCGGTATTCTCAGAGGACACGTCGTGAGGCCACGAAGAAGGCACCGAGAGTTATGGCACCAGCGTCTTCAGTAGAAGACATCAATTGAGGATTAATCCCCCTTGCAAAGTGTTAATACCCTCCCCCTGTGCACGTTTGATCTTTATATATTTAATAGGTGGTGGTAATAATTATAATATTAAGTTCTTACCTTTCTTTCCCTACTCCCTTTAAGTTACTTGCGTCACGGATCTCATCCCTTGATAGCCACTACTGGCTTGGGAACGGATACATTATATCTTCCTCTAACAACATCAGAGTGAGAACCCCGTTGCGTCCCGAGAGGGCCGTAACATAATTGGCATCCCCAGCGGGATCCGTCCCCTTGTTAAGTATGTTTGACAGGGGTGGTGAAGTGGCGTAATCCCTGTATATAATTCCCCCTGTGTGACGATTGTGACGTTATACGTCCTGTGCGGTGCTCAGAGTGACTAAGTGCAATATTGACTAGTGCGGTGCTCAGTGATTTAGTGTAATATTGTAGAGCGAAGTGTTCGCTTGGACTCAGTGCAATATTGGGTAGTGCGGTGCCCGGAGTGATTACGTGCAATATTGGCAAGTGCAGTGTTTGGTGCGATAAAGTACAATATTGGCGTAGAACAGTGCTCAGTGTGTTAAGTGCTAAGTGTTTCATCTGTGACAATGGCAGACAAAGCTACCATCGATGATCTGGACGAGGTTCAGGCTTTTCTGAACAGAGAGGATTGTCTTGCCAGATTGAAATATCTGAGTAAACCAGAGCTTGTACTAGTGAGCGCCTACCTGGAGATGAAGATCCGTGCCAGTGATTCCCGTGTGGAGATCTTGTCCAAGGTTCACCGGCACCTGAAGGCAGAAGAGAAACAGGAAGGCGAGACTCCTAGTACAAAGGAAAGTGCAGACATAGCTTCCACGGAAAAAGAAGATAAAGGCAGCGACGTTGACAGTGATGCAGGCGAGCTTAATATCAGCTTCCTAACAGTCAAGATGCGTGCCCTAGAGATCAATCGTGAAATAGAATGGAAGAAATTAGAAATGGAACGAGAGAGACAAGATAAAGAATTGGAGATGAGACGTTTAGAATTAGAACGAGAAAGAGAAAGAGAAGAACGAGAACGAGAAAGAGAAGAACGAGAAAGAGAAAGAGAAGAACGAGAAAGAGAAGAGAGACGAGAGAGAGAAGAACGAGAAAGAGAAGAGAGACGAGAGAGAGAAGAACGAGAACGAGAGAGAGAAGAACGAGAACGAGAGAGAGAAGAACGAGAGCGAGAAAGAGAGGAACGAGACAGACAAGAACAACGAGACAAAGAGGAAAGAGAGAGACAACATGAACTAGAAGTTTTGCGATTAGGCGGTGGTCGGAGGCAAACAACGGACACCAGTAGCTTCGATCCGGTACGCAACATCAAAATGGTCCCCAAATTCCATGAGAAGGAAGTGTCAAAATTCTTTGCAGCCTTCGAGAAAGTCGCTGCCTCGTTGGAGTGGCCAAGGGAGAATTGGGCCATCATGATACAGTCAGTCTTGACTGGGAAGGCCCAAATCGC